AAAGTGAAAAAAAAAATCTTAAAATCTGATTTTTCACCTTTATAAGCTTATGAATGCTCACTAAGAGTTCTGGAACCCAGAGGATAATTTGTTTTCCATCTATGTTGTGTAGTAGTAATGGTGTTTTTACAGACAGACCTCTAAGGGAAGTACTTGTACATTTGTAAGAATCAGACTTCAAAACACTTGAATTTAATAGCTCTGCACGTGCATTTTTCAGTAAGTTTTAATAATTTGAACAATTGTATTGGAACAATTCCTTCTGGTTCAAGGCAAGGACAGACAGTAAGTGATAACACAGCTTGGGCTGCTAAAGAAACACAGAAGATACCAACAGCCTAAACTACAGCCCCCTTTTTGTCTATTCTGTTTGCCCACAGACCAATTGTCAAAAAAACATCATATATTAATTTCAAAAAGACTGGAATTTTAGAAGCATAATTCAATAATGAAAGTGGTGATATAGTACTGACCAGTAATAGTTTACTGAGGAAGTTATGTTGCTCTGAAAGGTATCTGGAGTATGTAATTTTCTGTTCAAAATTCCATCAGATGGGGCTTTGCACCTTTTAGAAAGAAGGTTCCTTTACAACCTTTTAACTTGCAGGACTCCTGAACTCTGAACTCCTAAGTCTTCTGCATTCTAGGAGCCCTGGGAACATTGCTACACTGCAATATTAATCTGGGTTGGCAGTTTTAAGGCCATGGGGATGAAAAGAGAGAAGGACTCCTATTCTGTTATGACAGATCTGGAGTATGAATACAGAGCCTTTGTATGGCAGAGAGCTAGAAAAATGTTCCTTTGGCATTTTGCAAGAGCTGTTTATGGAGCAAAATACCACTTCTGTGGAGGGAAAGGCATCAAGGGAGGAGCGAGCAGACCAAGCCACTCTGAATTTCCAGCACTCCAGCCTGTGCTGGCCACGGAGCAGGGCAGGGGAGCTTGGCAGGAGTGACTCTTTCTTAGCTTCTTTCTGCAGCTGAGGCTGCTGCCTGAGTTTTAGTGTCTTGCACCCGTGCACAGTGTATGAAATACCAGCCATACAAGCTATTTTGTCCCTAGCTACACTGGCATAATGTAACAATGCAGGATGTGATGCCTTGTATGAGCATCAGCTTTAGTGTACTTAGTATATTTTGCCTATCTGACAATATGCAGAAAGAATTCTAAATGAAATTAATACAAACCAGATTAAACTTCAGATCTGTTCCATCTAAAAAAGTAACTGGTTCAGCTGTTCCACAGAGCAGGGAGCAGTGGTTTCAGGGGAATGGACACACTCCAGCCAATACTAAAACAAACATTTTCTGCACCAGTATTTCACTGTATTCTCTCCTGCCTACCTAGCTGCCATTGCTATTAATAGAAGATATTTTGTTCCACTCTGCCACCATGCAGTGAAATATGAAGGTTAACAACCATCAAAGTATTTCTCATAATTTTTAAAATACTTATTTTTCTTAGATCTTAAAATCTCTGTCATCTAAGTAACAAATTCTTCACTGTTTTAAGTCCACTAGAGAAGATTTATTTTAGCTCAAATAATTTTCTCATAAATCATTCTGTTGGGTGGGTAAGGAAGTATAGCAGGCTTTGCCTCAGGTGAACTTCCAAGAACTTTCTCTCCTTCAAAAGGGATGTGTCCCAGAAAAGCAGAGAGCAGGCTCAGCTGTGAATGTGCACTCAGCTTTGGGATCATCCCCTGGCAGTGCCTGTGCTGCCATCCTGAGAGCTGGGTACCCACATTTCAGGAATGCCCTGCACCACCTACAGAGGGAATTCCACTCCACAGGTGATGTTAGAAAGAACAACAAAAAAAAAAAAGACAGCTTTGGCCCACAGTTGAGTCTCTGAGCAGTACCAAAGGGGCTTTTTCTTATTTCCTTGTCACTCCCTAACCCCATTCTGCAACTACAACAATGGAAATAATCAGTTCACAATCCAAGGGGGTTTAATTTCCATTGAGAGAGTAATTTGAGACAGTATAGCTAATTTCTGCCAGTATAAAAAGAGAAAAAGGTTCTTAAAGCCAGAAAGTCAAATTTTGTCCTCAGACATTAATTCATTGGATCAGATTTAGTCCTTGAATCTGCTGCTGAAAGTTCAACAATGTCAAAGAAAACTTTTGCTAAGGCTGGACTTTCACCCTATTAAGTGCATCTCCCCTCTGAGAGTTGCCCTGGCACAGAGACTAGACCAGCTGGCAATACAGCTTAATATCTATGAATAATTAAAAACTGTACTACAGTTAATAATTGCAGGACTGCTCCAAAGCACATCAAAATTAATTGGAGTTTTTCCTCTGGCACATTGCTGTGCTTGGAATCAGTCTCATTGCACGGAACAGTCATTGCTAGGCCAGAGACTGTTAACTGTGTAACATTTTTATATTGATATGCATAACTATTTTTTCTAATAACATGTCTTTTTGGTTTATAATTCCAATTACATATTCAGTGATCTGAGCTCTGTTCTAAACTGGGTTTACAGTCATTTGCAAACCAGTGCTAATATGCTTAAAAAAAAAGGTGCATATACTATTGCAATAAAACATGATGAAATAACCAAGATATTGGGAAGGGACAGGCTTAATTTTAAGTGAGTGATTATCTTATCATCACTGACCACCATAAAATATTCTTGAGCTCAGAAAAATATCTCTACATTTAAATTGTTTCTTATTTGAAGTGCTTTAGCAGCTGTCCACACTTTTTTAAAGTGACACTCAGCAGAAGCTGAGATCACAGTTTGCTTACCCACATGGGGAGCTTCCAGAGATGTACAACAGGATTGTGTTCATTGCCTAAGAGGGGGAATAATGGCAGTCTGATCGGGGCACTCTGGTGCACAGAATGCTTGAGTGCTTGACTCATTTCGAGTTTCTGCCCTGAAAATTTAGTTGTGCCCAGCTGCCCTGTATCCATGCACCTTTAATTCAGTAATGTGATCAATGCAGATGTGAAATTGAGGTCAACATTGTACAATTAAATGTCTTCTGAAAGGCATTGAGCAAGTTCATTCACTGATTTCACACAAGCTGAAGGCACACCGTTCCCTCCCTGTTTTCCACTGAGCTTTATTCTTATCCCTGCATTGCAGGATGGCACACTCAAGAAATGGAAAAATGGGACTTTTTACCATTCTGATTACACCAGAGGAGGTGCAGAAGTGATTTCATATATTGGGGTCTTTTAAAATACTGCTGTATACCAGAAACTAAGTTAATGCTTCTGCAAGACTGTGTCATATTCACATTTTACCAGCTTAGGGGTTTGATACCAACAGTGCAGACCTACAGGTTTAGCTTTGCTCTGTTCTCTGTGTAGCATTAGTTCAAGCAGCTGCCAGGGAGTGAATCCACTCAAAGCAGCAGAATTAGAAAGCCACAACATTGCTACAAGTAACTTGTCTAGATGTTGGTCTAATGACTGCACACCTTACAGTGGTTTAGTGCTTGGTGGGAAGTGATCCTTTCTTTTCATCATGACAGGAGTTCTTTATGCCTTTATAGCAAGAAAAAGATTACTGGACATGTATATGTTCTCATTTTCATGTAATATTAATACATTTTTAGAAGAAATTTATTGCCCAAGTTGTCATTCTTTGTTTTCAGTTGTACTGGTGCTTGTTGGTGAAGCAAGGCTCTAACCCCACTCCTGCCAGGAGCTGTTCACCCTGGTTAGGCCACAGATTGATTAGAAATGCAACTGACAGCTGCAACTTAAGGCTTACATTTTTCCTGTTTAAATAGGATTGAGCTACAAAATTCTCTGCCGACAAGCTGTGTCTCCTGAAGTGCATTTTTTTAAAAGCATTGTCTTCTCATTTTAAGTTGTTTTGCACTCTCATCTCCAAATCATTTTGCAAAGAGCACTGAATGTCCCTCGAGATCAAACACTACAGATTAATGTGCCATGCACCTTCATAAAACAATTGCTTCACTACTCCCCAAGAGATGAGGATGTTTAGCACCTCTGAAAAAAGACCTTTTAAATGTGTGACTACATAAAGGCTTAAGAATAATTTAGTGCTTCTGACAGTCCCACTAAGCCCTTAACACCCACCTAGATCTGACCTTTATGCTTCCATTTTAAGCACTGAGGTCTGAAAGTTTTGGACTACAAAAGTGGTTTAGTTTGCAACAGCAATAAACTTTAGGATATCTAATTTAACTTATTCTTACAAAATTGCCCAAATTCATGGAAGGTGCCCCAAAATATAAGGAATTATAATGAGAAACCATATTTTAATCTCATCAGTACCAACCTCTCGTGGCTCATTAGAAAAGGAGTGAGGATTTCAATTTTAAAAAGCAGGTTTTAAGAAAGGGCCCATCCACCTGCACTGGGTTTCAGATAAGCAAAACCCCCATATTTCCACTGTGTAGTCACACTGTGCCTGTTAAAAATATGCAGATAGTAAGAAAAAATGACTATTTAGGAAACACACTTAAACATTAGCATTATTGTAGATACGTTTATGGTTATTGCTCTGGATTCATCTGAAATTTAACAGGCTTTTAATGGCTTCATTTTGGAAATGGTTCTGCCTGAAGGAACAGCTATATGTGTATAATTTCTCTGTACAGCTCTCAGCTCATGTACAAAAATTAACAAACAGCAGATTCACAGTATCAGCAGAACAGTCATCATTCCGTGGCTGCAATGATGCTGCACCATCCTTACACTTAGTTCTTCTATACAAAGCTGGAATAAACACATTAGAGTTTATGTCCCCCCGGCTGAATTAATGTGCTGATAGATCTACAGGAAAAGGAGATCTGAAGTCCTGCCTCAAGCCCCGTTTGCAAATCCAGAAGAATCCATCCTGCTCAGCTCAGCAAGCACAAATGGATTCAGTGAGCCAGACTGGGCTCCCACAGGACATAACCCACCACAGACCTGCTACGTTTATGGTTATTGTTCTGGATTCATCTGAAATTTAAGAGGCTTTTAATGGCTTCATTTTGGCAATGGTTCTGCCTGAAGGAACAGCTATATGTGTATAATTTCTCTGTACAGCTCTCAGCTCATGTACAAAAATTAACAAACAGCAGATTCACAGTATCAGCAGAACAGTCATCATTCCGTGGCTGCAATGATGCTGCACCATCCTTACACTTAGTTCTTCCATACAAAGCTGGAATAAACACGTTAGAGTTTATGTCCCCCCGTCTGAATTCATGTGCTGATAGATCTACAGGAAAAGATCTGAAGTCCTGCCTCAAGTCCCGTTTGCAAATCCAGAAGAATCCATCCTGCTCAGCTCAGCAAGCACAAATGGATTCAGTGAGCCAGACTGGGCTCCCACAGGACATAACCCACCACAGACCTGCTCTGCAGACACATCAAACCTGGAGTGCACCCCACAGAGCATCCCCAGGCTGCCTGCCCATGCCTGCAGGTCAACAGCTCACTCAGGCACCAACAGCTTTGAGGGCTGGCAGAGGGCAGGAACAGTTCCAGTTTTCTGGCTGAGTAGGCCAACACAGCCAGGTTTTGTGATTACCCTAATTTTTCAAAACACCACAGCCACTTGGAATCACTCTGTGCTGAAATAAAATTATTACTGATTTCAAAGAAAGGGTTGCATCCTTCTCTTGTAGGGAGAGAAGGACTGGAACATCTGAAAAGGTAGCACCAAGTTAGTAATAAAAATGCAAAGTTCAGTGTGATGTGGCATTTAGATTTCATTTAAGCTTTGAGATATTTTCTGGGGCAGTTAGGAACATTCCTCCCACACACAAACAATAGTCTACTGTCAGGGCTTAGTTTTGAATCTAATATAGTTCATTATCATTTAATGTATCTATTACAGTAGCACCTTGATTATTGTACAACTTTAAACACAAGACATTGTCCCTATTTCATGTTATCTGTAAGGAAACTGTGATCTTTACATCCTAAAAGTAAAAAAGACAAAAATGGTTATCTGCTCATGAATGACAAATTCTTTAGTACATTCATTCCAGTCTGAAACCCTTTGTCTTCTTAAAGCATACCATGTAGTTCCTAAGTTCAGAGCAATTAACCCCCATCCTCCTAAGTATCACGTTACAAAATAAACAGTATTGTGTTAATTGGAACCCGATAGAAATGGCAATGCAGTACCTTTTTTTTTTTTTTTTACTGTGATAAAACCCCTTAAAAGATGCAACTCGGCATCAATAAATTTAGGGAATACACTACATACATTAAATAGAGGCAAGTTGAGTCCAGAGTCATTTGCTTCTTCATTCAGTCTCAGAAGTGGTGGTGGTGTCTTCAAGCAGCACCATCAACCCTCTGTGCCTTCCTTAGACCGGCCCAGATTCACAGTAAGGAAAGCAACAACAGTGGTGGGAAGATAAACTAAGCAAGAGCCACACTCCTGTTCTGTAAAAATCCATGGGATCAGGACAATGTTCCCATGCTGACGTGGCCTACATGTGACAGACGTGTGTGTGAGTGGTGCCAGTCCTCATCCCTGCAAGCTCCAACCTGCAGCAGTCAATGCTTTGTTCAACAAGGCTGGGGGACTGCTGATGCACGGTTAAGTTCTTTTTTTTCTTCATTCAGCAATTAACCAGATTGCTGTTGTCTGTCTTTGATTTAATTTTACAATCCTCAAAGGTTTAAAGAACTGCTGTCTGAAGCACCTGCTTCTGAAATACTCTTGTGTATTTTTGCTTTCCGTTTTTTATACTTTTCCATTCTCTGTTGCAGTGCCATCATTCTCCCTGCTCCTGGTTTTCTTGCATTTTCCTTCAGAGGCAAAATTACAGTGATCCTGACGCAGTTTGGGCACAGCCACAAATAGTCTGTTTGTCCTTCCTCTCTCTGTCTCATAGTTAGAAAAGCATCATTGTGCACACAGTTCTGTTGATTTCAGTGGATGAATCCAGTTCATCCATCATGTTAGGCAGTCAAAAAAAACCCAACAAAAAAACTCAAACAAAAGAAATTGTCTAAATCCCAAACAGGCATCTTTGGAATCAGTAGTGCAAAATGTTTGCGGATTTCTTTTCCTTGACCTACTGCAATAACCTCTCAATCTTCAAGTCTTTCCTAAGATAGTGGATCTGTAAATGTAAAACATAAGGACAATTTAAAAAAAAAAAGCAAATTTAAAGGTTTGGAGTTTTAATCACTTTCTTCATATTTTCATTTACATCAAACCATTTCACATCTCTTAGAAGAGCTGTAAACTGTTGGAAGATCCAGTTGACCTGGAGCATTCTTCATCTGCATCAGGCTTGTGCATGGGTACAGCAAGCTGAGGGCATTCTTTACAGGGAGGATAATTTGAGATTAAAATGAGCTTTTATCAGTGCAGCCTCAGCTCTGCAAATTAGCTTTAAATTGAAGAGACCTCACTCAGGGGTTACAGCTTAAATACCTGCACTTCACAAGCTTTGGTATCAGAACAGCTGTTTGGAGGTACTTTAGAAATGAGCTGATAAAATGAGAGGTTACCTTAAGGATTTCCACCTGTCTTTTTCTGTCTGGTTCTCCGGACTTTCACTTTCATAGGAAGCCAGATACAAACCTGGAAACAGTAAATATGTGTTATTTACAACAGCATTGGCAACCCCCATCCCTCTGCATTCTTGTACATCCTTTTGTACCAGACAGAAAGAGAAATTGTAAAACGTCATGTTCCCTCAGGTAGCTGGTAATCAGTGGGGCACTGATGTTTAGCTCTAATATCTACCTTGGAAAGCTGTTGTGTTAATTTTGATGGAACAATAAAGGAGCCCAGAGTTAAAATATGTTAGCACAATCTTCTCATTACAATATTAAGCAGTTGAATGGTCTCTGGTTTTGCATACAGAGATCTGGGCCCATTTCTTTCATCACAGCACTGCTACTCAAGAATTATATGAACTTTAAAAAAGACACAGTGAGAGCTGACACCTAAACCCATAAGCTTTTAAAAACTAAGGATATTCTCATCACATAACACAACTTTATGTTCCTCAATCTTTTTAAAGCTTATGGGGACATGGTATCTTAAATGGATACAAAATACCGTCAAGGTAAGAGTGAGTTACAGAACCTGAGAAGGAATGCAGTGGAAGAAAATAAATATGTCCTTTTTTTCCCCCTGCAAATCTTTACACTGTAGGATGCATTTTATGACACTGAAATGAGTTTAGATTGTAGTCTCCTCTGCAAAAGCTGGCAGTGCAATAATATCTTACAGTCTTCACAGAATCACAGGCTGTAATTTGTGTTCACACACATTTTCTCCTTTGACTGTTTCATGATTTTATTCTTTATAAAGAATAAAAATTCTTTACTGCTGGAACCATCTCACCATTCAAGTCTGTGCTACAAATGCATTGTCTTGTAATATTCAGCTGCTGGCCCCCATTCCTCCACATCGTGACAAGCACAGTACAGCTGCGTTTCACGTGCCACTGCTGAATCTCTCTCAGCTATCTTCCCACCTTTCATTCAGGGCAGTTCTTTCTACTCTGCACTGCCCCTGGGTAATGGGGGAGGTTTCCTGTGGCTTCTGCAAAGAGCATTTCACAAAAGCAGCATGACTATAGGGGAGGACATGAGGGAGAAAATCTGCATACAATTAGTGGATTGAGGTCACTCTTTTTTAGTCCAGTAGCCTGAAAACTGTACTTTTACCCTGACTTTCATTTTCTGTCCCTTTAGAGTCTAAAACAAGAAGAAATGCCTTCATCCTATCTCCTTTTGATACATATTACTTTAATCATATTAATTATTCTATTTTGCCAGTCATTCTTAAGATTTAGGCAGGATTTTAGAAAAAGTACTTTGCTTTCTGAAGTAGCCTGTGAAATACAAGCTGTCTGGTCTGATTACCTTGGATTAGTACAGAAAACTGCCTATAGAATGAAGAAGAAATAAACCCACCAACAGAATAGCTTATGGGAAGGCTGCTATAGACAATTCTGTGTGTGACAACGTATAGAGAGGCAGCTGACACAAACCAGTATGAAGTGACACATACCGACATGCTGGATACCAAACTGATGAGGACAGAAAAGTATAAAAAGACAATCAGAGAAACAATTTCAGAACGGTGCTTTCATAGCTACAGCTGAAATGAGTAGAAAAGGTTTTCTTAAAAATTCTTTTCTGTACATAACATGCCATTGGTGCAGAGGAGGAGGTCAGCTGGGCTCCATCGCCCTGGGCCTTGTTTACTGAGGAGATGACAGCGTTGGTTTGTGAGAGAAATTAGCTCTGGTTCCATCAATCACAGAATGAGTGGCTAAGGGACAGCTGACATTCACAGGAGTCCATGACAGGCTTGTGTGGCCTCAATTCATGATTAAAAAAATAAGGCCACAATGACAGCTTCCTAGACAGTGCCTTATAGAGAAGCTACAGACAAGAGAAAAGCCATCAGGCAGCAGCTTCATGAAGGCTGTATTTGCAAAAACACATTGATAGACTGGGCATAAACAAGCTGCTTGGCAGGAAAGTCAGGAAACAGCTGGGATAGTGAGAGAGATCACCAAAGCATGGATCAGGGTGTTAATTAGTAGTGATGAAGAGAGACCTTTTCAGTGATGAGTGATTGTACAGAGTCTTACCATCTTCAGTAAAAATGGGAGCCGTGTGCAAGTAGTGGATGATGTTAGGGTCTTGCTCAAATGGACACTCCACTTGTTTCCATGTTATAAACTCTCCTACTTGCTTAGCCAGTTCCAGGAACTTCTGTAAACACAAAATCATTCCACTCAGATATAGTAATATTACCACATGTTCAGTGTTTGATGGTCTGCACTGAAAATTGCAGGCTAATAGTCTCAGATAGTCCCTCAGCTATCAGAATGGGATAGGTAAAAACATTTTTCAGATCTTACTTCAAAGTTGACGTGTCCATTTGGAAGGCGATTAGCACATCCCTCATTCAAAAAATAAATGTCTTTGATCAATAGGCTGAAGAAGGGGATCACAATCTGTGGAGAGAAATGACAATACCATTATCTTTTCAGTTCAGTATTTTCTCTGCATGAAAGAACAACTCAATTGGGAGAGATGAGAATAAAGAAGTATTAACTTTTCAGTGTGCTGTGCACTTGAAAAGCAGTACAGCTACAGGCCAGCAAAAGGGCAGTGGTGTCTAGAGAGACCTCCAGCCACCAGGAGAATGTATGCTGAGATGAAAGTGAACTGAACACAATGTTCACTGAGCACAATAACATGATTAAGAAAGTGCTAAAAGCCCAGTTTATTATCAACAACATCACTGTCTGATGACAACATCAGACAGCAAAGAACAAAATAACACTGCAGAACTCTTCCCTTTCATGTTGTGTCCTTATAAGCAGAGATGTTGAACACACAAATGGAGCAATTTAAACACAGGTGGGAACCAAAGAACCAATATTGTCCCTGGACAAGGAAAGACAGCACACAATTTGATGACCAAGGACTTGTCTACAAACAGTTAATCAGCAGCTGTTTCATTTTCAACAGCTCCAAGCATGGCTACCTCTTGAGGCATGCAATTTCCTTCCTGGTGCCTGATTAGTACAACCTGCTTCTCCAAATTAACCTGCAGACAACAGGACTGAAAATATTAAGCTGGTTGACAGGAAACTGCTAACAGTAGCCAGAGAGACCATTGTAGTTCTCAAAACTAGCCCTGGCCATCATCCAGGGCAGAGTGACATATAGCAGTGACCCAAGACTTCCCTCTTACCCATCAGAGTTGGGTCATAATTTGCTATAAAAGAAGTCTGGGTAAGACTGTTGAAATTGATGGAATTACAAGCAGGGATAAATAAATTTTATGCCAGATGTTCTACAGCAGAAAGCAGTAATAGTGCTCCTGAAGTGCATCCTCAATCTCAGCAGAGATCCAGAGTGAAGCAGACTCTCTCAGGGTCCTTTGTCTCACAGCTCAAAGTAAAAAGAAAGATAACACTAAGGACCTGTCCATGAAAATTGACAGTCAAACCTCAGTCTGCCCACGACTCCAGCAGTGACACTGTGACACAAAAGGCTGCCTGGGGGCTTTGAGCTGAAGGTCAGCATGTGCCCTTGTGAGAATTTTCCTGTGGCAGCAATGTCTGTCTTTCAAACCACCAAGCACAAACTTAGCCACCATGAACATAAAAGAAAACACACTGCATGGCAGTGTCCAAATATTTCCAGTGGTCTGTTTGTATATTAACTGAGCTGCAGCTTATTAAGCAGCACCAAAGCCCTCACGGCAAGCAAGAACAGCCAAGAGAGCAATCCTTTAGTTAAGTATTTAATGTTATTCCATCTCATTAATGGTATTCCATCTCATGCTGTACATAGCTGTAACAGGATATGAAATGGACAGAACAGGATTGGCAGCTGTTATTTTCCAGTCTACAAGGATGCTACAATGCTGTGATGCTCCAATGAGGGTGAACAAGCCATAGAAGTGAAAACACTGAGGCAAAGAGTCCACAAGCTACTGCCAGTGTGTTTTGTGAAAATGGAAGCCAATTTCTGTTCTAGCTAAATTACCACATCCAGTAAACTTTTAAAGATCTGCATCTCTGCTGGCTTTCTTATGGGACAGCCACAGATAAACTCTGTAATGTCACTGCAAACAGCCATAAAAAAGCCTGGACTGATGCCCCAAGAGCCACTGAATACCTATCCTGATACATTCCACTGATAAAACTCAGGAATGAACACAAAGCACAGCCTTATCCTCCCAAAATGCTGGGGCCTCCTATTAGGATCAGGTGGAACAAATTCTAGACAAACTGAGCTAAGTGTGTTTCAGGATTTATTTTCATCTTACCCAAACTAGATCATCCACCTGTAGTGAAGAATACAACTCACTCTATGTGGTTTCTTTTCTACCAAAAATGATGACAACTCTGTAACCAGTGTGGTCTCAAAAGGTGGGAAGATACAGAGAGCTGGAGCCAGACACTGAGCCCCAGCTAGAAATCACTGCCAGGTTCTGTCTACATATTTTTTTTTGCAGGCAGATGCGAGCCTGTTCTGTCCTGCTCCACTGCCTGGGAGAAAGGTCAGCACCATTAGTGGTACTAAAGATGAAGGAGAAGCCTTGCTGAGAGGAAAGGTACACAAATGTGGGCTGGATGCCAGGGTAACACAGCTACAGAGCCCCCAGTCAGCTCAGAACATGGCAGAGCTTGTTCTCATCTCTTCCAAAAGGTGCTAAAAAGACATACCAATTCTCTACACATTTCCATGGAATTGCTGTATTTTGGTCACCATTTATTTTCCCAATAAAAATATATTACCCTGTATTGTTTTGCTTTCCAAATTTCTGTAGGAAAACCAGCAAAAGTTGTTACAATTATACTGTAATATTGGCTTCACTCCAGGCACTTTGCTAGCATAAAACCTGGGTTAGTGCCAGAAACTCATATTTCTCTCCATTTTTATCCCCCTTCCATGCCATCCAACCCACCCACATGCTGAAGGACAATTGCCTCCTGCAGAAAGAAGAAAGTTAATGAGATCTGACTTGTTCTGTCTCCACAGTATCAGACAGCAACAACACACAGTGCTGTGCTGTACACACTCCCAACATTTCAAAGCCAGAGCTATGCCATGAGTACAATGCAGTTTCCCAGTGGAATGACTTCATTTTGGAGCTGGCACAGGTCATTTGACTGCACAGACAAAACCAGACTTGCTTACTAACCAGTACACCCCTCTGCGAGCACAATTCAGTTTGAAGATAAAAATGTTCTTCAGAGTGAGCTTTGCTATGAGTTTGCCAAGAAACAATGTAACATCTATCAAAAAGAAGTCATCATGTTCTTTTGGATGTGTTCATGTTCATTAAAACAATTAAATTATAATCTTGCTTATAAAAAGAAACAAAATTCCTTAATCCTACAGAAAGCTTTACATGATCTGCTGTATCTGACACTGTAAAATACCCAGTATAAGCAGCAACCAAATCACATCCTGGAGCATTTTCCTGAACTAATGTTGTCTACACAAGGAAAACAGAATATGGGCTCTTTCTGATGTACAATAGATTCCTTTCAGTCTAATAACATCTCTGCCATCAGTATTAACCAGCTAGGGGTAGAGGTATGACAGAGATTGCTAACTTCACAGGAAATTAAGTCAAACAATAAAGCAACTGGTTTGAATATCTGTGATGGTCGCAGAAGAGCTAAACTGCAAAAGCATATCAGACTGACAGGTCCTTACTGAAGTGTGTGAGAGTTGAAAGAATTGCTTTTCTAGTCACACACATCCAAATGATCTCTCCTTTGCATAGAGAAGTGCTTTTCAGAACAACTCAGTGCACTCCCATTGCAGCTGAGTCAGCCTGCCACCAGATGCTGATCTCATTTCACTGTAAATGCTGTGAGATTCCATTAGCTTCAGCAGATTTACATCAAATTTACAGGGGTGTGAGATTAGCATCTGGCCTGGCTCCTCTAGTGAATGAATACTAAATTCCATATTGTGCTTGTTCATGCAGCATCTATTTTAGCTTTGCCATGCTTAGTGCAGAGATTACCCATTTATGACTATGAGCAACTGTAGTGTAAAACATAAACCCTCTTTTAAAAAAAAAAAAAAAAAAAAGAAAAGAAAATAATTTAATGGAGGAGTAAGAAAATTAACAAGAAACACATCGATGCACAAACCAGGAGGATCCTACACTCTAACATCTTGTCAATCTGATTTTTGCAGCATCAGTGACATGTCAGAAAGCTCCACATCTGCCACGAACACTGATAAAACACTTCAGTTCTCACTCACTGAGATGCCAGCAACAACCAAATGAAATGAAAATTCACAAGGACAGAATATCACCCTGAATTTGCTGCAATGGATTTAGACTAGACTCCCTTGCAGGACTTGTGGTAAATCATCTTTCCCTGATGTAAATGGAGATCCACCTCGCCTCCATGGCTGTGCCCTTTGCTCTCCATCTCACCTCACACAACACACGACAGGGGCTTCTGTGCCAGAGCCTGGGGCACAGCTGTAACAAAGCACAGCTCCACCTGGTCTGCCAGGCTCATGCTCCATCACCAAAATACAACTCTTTTCAGCCTGGAATACCTGTTCCATCATCTTTATCAATCTAAACAGTGTGAATTTTCCAGGGATGTAGAGACACTTGCAACAAAGTTCTCCATGCTGTGTGTCCTGCCCTCTCTAACCCTCCCAATGTCTGGCAGCAAGCCCACAAAGATTTGCTTTGATCCTACCCAGACTCTTTCAACCACGTTTTCCCCCCACATTTTACACTTCTGGCTGCATCCTGAAGCACACAGGCTTTGCACTGGTGACCCACAGAAGGGAGGAGAGCATCTGCATCAAGTGTTGGAGCCACAGAGTGGCAGCAGAAGTGCAGCCCAGCCCCGTGCAGACTGAGCCACAGAGTGGCAGCAGAAGTGCAGACCGTGGGCTGTGTTCACACGCACCTTCTCCCGGTTGCTGTGCGCGGTGAGGGACCTGTGGGCAGCTCCCCGCAGCGCTGTCCGGTAGTTGTAGAAGTTGCCAGTAGGGTCCATCTGGTGCTACAAGCACAAAATAACACGCCTTGGTTAGAAAGCAGCCTGGGCTTTCTAAAGACAATTTTACACTCAGTTGTAGCAAACCGTGAGCAGAGCAGAGCCTCCTCCATCTTCAAAATGTACATCTTCAAAATCCACATGCCTGCAGAGCCCCACGCACCAAGGGTGCAATGAGAGGTCTGCAGCCCATGGCTGTTTATACATTTGATATTCCTACTGACAGCTTACTGAGGTTTTATGTGAAGAATAAGCACTGCACATTCCATGTGTGCCAAATCCTGGAATTCTCAATGCCAAATATTGTGGGGTGTTCACTCAACCTCCAAGGTATAGATTGGGAGCTTTACATTCAGCATTGTGCCCATGGCCAAACAAAAAATGCATCAGCAGAAGCACTGTGGTGTTCATACTTTGGGGTTTTTAAAGGTTTTTAACATTCTTCTTATTTATTTGAGTACTCTGAATTCCCTCTACATATCATCAGCTTTACACCCTCCTCCCTACATCTGGGATATTTCAGCTTAGAATCAGGCTCTCTGCCTCTGAAATGTGTCTCCAGACATCTCACACCCAGATAACAATGTAAAATTCCCAAACAAAAATATCCTGAATATAATTAAAGCAGTGCATCAGGAATTTTTTTTACCTCCAGAATGAAAAATTTGGCTGTTTTCACTTTTGACCAAGTCTTCTTTAGCCTGGAAACTGGACTCATATTCATTCCAGCTACGAGTGAGAGAGAAAAAAACAGAGCCATTGATAAGAGCTGGGTTTGCTTTTTCATCTGTGACAGCTGATGGAAGACCTGGTTAGAAGCTGTACTTACAAATGATTGCCATCAGTGAATTAAAATTCCCTATGTTAAAGCACTCTCGGGCAACGTCAATGAAGAATTCGATGACTTGTGCTCGCTGTTTCTTTTTTGCAGGCTGTAAATTAAAATAAATGAGTATCTGTAATGAGCATATGCAGAACTGGAGGTCATCCTAAGCATTTGTTCCATGCATAGCGTGGCTTCATGCACAGCTTGGGCCATCTGCTTTCAGTCACTGGCCCTAATTCTGTTCCAGCAATCCAGTGGATGCTGGTGACTGGCAGCCTCTGAAATCAAAGCTTTCACTGCAGTGACACAGAAGAAATCCAAGGCAATTCCCAGCCCCAGTGGCTGTCTCAGTACTGGAACAGGCAGCCCAAGCAGAGCCTCAGCTCCCTGCTGGCCTCCCTGAAGTCCGTGGGCTCATCAGCACAGACTTCCCCAAGGGCAGGATTTCACACCCCTGCAACAGCAGCATCTTTGTCTCAGAAAGAGCTTGTTTCATTGCATTAATCCCTTTCCCTCTCATGTCCCTTTAGCAATATAGCCAGACCAAATGATAGCATTTTAAATTCACATTTTAATTGTACTGGAATCACCCTAACTTTTCCAAAGATGATCTTCAAATGGTAAATCTTATGTGTCACAGGCTATCCTGGCTCTTTAAACTATTAAGAGTATTCTTCCCTTCCATACCCTTTCCAAAGAGGAATGCATGAATTTCATTTTGATGGGACCAAGTTAAACAAACTAAAACCACTACAAGAAACGTCGACCACATCACAGCCACACTCATGGGCAGCAGGACAGAGAGCCATGCAGTGGGAATTCACACACACAGCAGATCTTTAGGATGACAGATAACAAATATGGCTCTGCTAGAATCTTTGCTGGCAGAAATCTCACAGGATAACTCAAGGCATTTTTTCCTCTCTTTTTCCCTGCAGGGTTCATTATTCCACACTGTGCTCCTACTACATCAAGAGAAAAGTGCATTCCCCTGTGCGCCACCACCTCTGTTTTGCAATATGTTTGTCATTTATCAGGTCTCTTCTGCAAGTGCAACACTACTAAAACTTACCATCAGATGCTTAGCTGGATCATAAGAAATAAATCCCCAGGATTGCTTATTAATACAAAATCTCAGAGTGGTACTTCAGGTATATGGTAAAATGTGGTGCATACTTGTAACTTACCATGCAAATTTCTGTTGCTACAAGATAGCAGAGTCTATTGAACCATTTCACATAGGCCTCAAGGTTACTCGTCTTCTTCTGTTCACTGAAACAAGTCTGAGGGGAAAAAAGCACAGAAAGATATAAATGTGTTCCAGTCAGTGACCTGATCACTAAGAGAAATACTGCACAAAGGTAATTACTGGCCACATCTCTCTCTTCTCTTGGAAGACTGTGCATTTAAGGGCCCCTTTTAAAAATCCTGTGGATACCTGGGTGTGTCACACTGTACAATTCACACTGGTGTCCAGAAAACAGCCCCCTTTTGCCTGCAGCAAGTGTTCACTGAGAGTCTGCACTGACCCTTGTTCACTGGGATAGGAACAGCTGAGGCACTGCAGGATTCTGACTTCAACAAGGATGTGCAGACAAAGTAAGACAGGCACAGTCTTCCACAGCAGGCTCAGTTTGTGACTTTGATTCCAGGATTTCCTCCACCTCAGTAAATAAAATCACCCACAGCCCTTTTCTGCAGGGGAGGGACCAGAATTTAGTCAAGTGTACAAGAGATAAACAAGATGAAATGCAGTTCTGGTTGATTTTTTATGAAAAAACCCCACTATTTTCCTTAGTGAGTTTTCAGAAAAAACAGGTTCTTAGCAACCAGCTCTGCCTGGATGGCTATGTTTGAACAGGTCAAACATGCCAGAGGCATTTCACTGATAAGAGCCATTACAAGAAGCATATTTTTCACTTATTTATATAAAACTTAACATAAATTCCCATAACTGATACAGGCTATGTGAGCAGATACTTGGCTGAATTCTTCCCGCTCCTTTGTCATCAACAGAAAATTTGACTTCAGAGGAGTGATGGGACAGTTCACACAGTCTGAATATTTTGCTTGGGATTGTAAAAATTCAAGTGCTTTGCCCAGCTTTAAACTCTTAGACAATCCATCTAGGACACTCAGCTCTCTAAAGTTCAAGAGATTTGTCTGAACAGTCAGTAACATCCACTAGAGGGTACCAGAGAATACTGATTTTTGTTTTATTAGGATGATCAGTTTCCCAGAGGTACCATAAACACACACCACTAAGAGGAAAATCATAATGCATAAGCAAAGATCCATTAATGTCAATGGGATCACCCATATTATGTAAGGTACACCAGTGACTAAGAACCCCTTTGGAAATGTGGCTTAATATGACTCCCAAGGTAACTCAAAGTAAGAAAATATTCACCTGTGATTCTGTACACAGATGTGTTTAGGAACAGAAATCACAGTACCATGCTATGGAGGAACAAATCCTAACAGGACTGAAATTCTGAGCCACTTTATGAATAGACTACAAACACAATAAAAGTGTATTTTTACAGCATCTCAAAAGTAAATGTTAGCAAGCAGCATGTAAATATCAAAAACCCAAAGGAAACCCGAATCAGCCCCAGTCTAACTGCTTTTCACATGCTCTGTTTCTTGTTTCCTATTACAGCAAAAAGCACACAAACCTCAGGTTTTGATCCGAAAATAGTATTTCCATCTCAGAACTGTTGTCCTGTGCCAGGGCGTAAGAGCCACAGCTAATAACGCAAAACTTGTGAGAAATGTGCAACAGTAAAGTGGAGACAGACTGCTTTTTAAAGGTTAAGCTTTATAAATGGCAGCAATATTTAGCACCTCCCAAGCATCTTCCATCTGCAGCTCAGAATGCTTGATAAACATTCATAAGTGAAGCCTTTTGAAGCCCTCACGCAAGAAAGATGTTTAATTTGATCTCCAGCTGGAGGGAATTCAGACCTGAGCCAACTCCCTCTGTCTGACAGAGATGTTCTGCAGGGGTCAGGGAATATGATTCCACATCAGGTTTGTGCTACTTTGTCCAAAGATGTGTCCAGAGAAGGGCAAAGGAGCTGGGGCACAAATCTGAGGAGCAGCAGCTGAGGGAGCTTTGGAGACAAAACGGGGGAACTTCTTGCTCTCCACAGCTCGATGGAAGGAGGTTGTAGGGCAGAGGGCAGTTGGTCTCTTCTCTCAAGTAACAAGCAGCAGGACAAAAGGAAATGCCCTCAAGTTGTGCCAGAAGAGGTTTAGATTAGATATTAGGAGAAATTTCTTCACTGAAAGGGCAGTCAGGCATTGGAACATGCTGCCCAAGAAAGTGATGGAATCACCATCCCTGAAGTGTTCAAAAGATGTGGCACCTGGGGCACCTGGAGACATGGTATGGTAGTGGCCTTGGCAGTTCTGAGTTAAGGTTTGGAGGTGATGATCTTGGAGGTCTTTTCCAACCTAAACTATTTTTTGATTCTGCGTGCAATGCTCTCCCCCTGGGCTGTATCTTGGCACAGAAGCTTTTCTAAATCAACCACAGAGAGCACGAAGAAAAGCTCCAGACTCCCCCCACTGTGATCAGCCTTGCTGACTTGAAGCCCAGGTGGCTGAAATCTCACTGTGGTTGGTTTGGTATCTTGTGTTTCTGCATGTTTCTGACACACATTTGCTGCCTTTAAGCACCTTTCTAAGGAATGTGATCAATGCCCAGAATACCTGGAACTCCATCTCTGCCTATTTCCCTCCTGCTGAAACAAACTGCAGAATCTCCACAAGTCCAAGAAGGAAAGGGCCCAATGTTGCATGTTTCATCCATCCATCCATCCATCCATCCATCCATCCATCCATCCATCCATCTTTTCACCATTACAAGCTATTTTGGTGCTCTTCTGCAGCTCTACAAGCAGAGGTCTTCCTGGTACCTTTGGCATCCAATGAGGAAATTCAGCCCTTGATGTATGATCTCAGTGAGAATGTACTCGCAGCTCAGGGCAAGAATTTCCCACCTTTTCTTTTCAGACAGTATGTGAAATCTCTGACTCTCCAGCTAGGAAGCCTCTTTCCTTACTGAAGCACTCACTGAAATGTTACTTCAAACCTCAGTGGAATCAGTGGAAAGACTCCAAGTGGCTTTCACAGCCTTTGGATGAAGCCTTGATCAGGCACTCTGCTCCCTGTGGTGCTTTGGGTTGTTGTGTAGGGAGAGAAGAGTTGATTCATGACGCACTGACTCATGGCTGTGGTGTCTGGGCACACACTGAGGCCATTACATCACACCCAGAGCCTTTAGTCCTTCACCAGAGCAGCAGACATTCCCTGGCTGTGTACAGCCACAAGCATCTGTCCCAGTCAAAGCAGCTCGGGAGGAACAGGTCCGAAAGCACACCAGGGTGGTGGCTAGTTTGTCACCAGGGAGGAATGGCAGTGACCTGCCAGTGCCAGCTCTGCCAACAGGTTCTGCCTTGCCATGACAACACAGGTCACCAGTTGGCCTGGCCCATGCCAGCTTGTGACTCAGGTCCTGCTCTTGGGGACCTTGTCACAAGTGGACAAGCTGTGGTCACAGGAAACACTTTGCATGTGGAGAAGCCATACCTTGGTGCCATCCAGAGGGTCCTTATGTACAAATGCCTGCACAAACTCCTCAGGTCCAATGTGACTTAGTCTTTCCTGTTGAGGGTAGGGGAGTGGGAAGAGAGAGGGAAAAATAAGAAAGCACCTCAGAATATCTTCTGTTTCTCTTGATAAAACAGCATCATTTTCTGTCAGCTCTGAGTGGTGTCACTGAACTGCAGACAGCCAACTAACGGACATTAAAATTCATAACAACAATTAGAACTATGTCAGCAGAAAGATGAAAATTAGAATAAATACATCTCATTACTGACAAGCCACAATAAGAATCCCCTCCACTGTGCTGGATGCACAGGGCTTCATTTGGGAGCCCGCAGACATCAGTTCTGTTTGGTGCTCCCTCAGACCTGCTGTGGTCCAGCATCACTCAGCAGCCAGTTGTTTTCCAGCTGTTACAATGGCAGTAATGCTGTTATCTGGAGTCCACAGCAATCCTCTGCTAGCTGCCCACACAGGGCTCTGCCCTGGCTCCTGCCCACTGGCCCTCAGGTGCTGCCCTGGGGTGATGGCTCTGGGTCACTGAGGATGCTCGTGACACATTAAAGGCTTTGCTTACACTGGAGAGTGTCCCAGGCACTAAGCAAACCAAGAATAAATAAAGCATCCAAATCTCTCTTAGTAAGAGAGGCCACCTCCAGCAGCTCCTGGAAAAACATGGCAGCTCCAACACACTGACCTTCCTGCTAGACTTTTCACTCTCCTTAAACGTGTTTATTAGAAAAATAAATATTTTCAGTAGGTTGTAGGCCACAAAGGTATTTCCGAGGAGGTATTCTGTAATTCCTACAGTCAAAACTTAGAATACTCAAGCAACAATAAAATAAATGGTAATTCTGGTCAAGGGAAAATTTTATGTCTAGTCCTATGCTTTTTCTCTGGGCCTCTCATTTAAACACTGATAACTGTATAGGGCTCTTACTAATCAATAACTCTTTTAAATAAGTATCAAATAATTCTTACTAACAAATAAGCATCAGACAGTTTCAGTGCAGAGCACTTGATATATCAGACATAGCAATGAACAAGAAAGTAAAGAGAATTGATTACAGCACAGTGGAATTAAAATCTCTAGCTGCATCTGTTTTAAAAAGGCAGTGATGCCTCAGTTATAGGGAATTTCCCCTTGGAAGACAGCTGCACTGTGGAAGAGGAAAAAAAACAAAAGCAAGGCAAAACTCCATGCAAAAGGACTTCTATTCTCTGGATTAAGTTACACAAAGCAAAGAGAGCCAAAGCTGCAGGTTCTGAAAATTATCCATTCCACTTCTTGACAAACAGAATAAATACTATCTTCAGAAATCCAAATTTCTGATTTCCTAACACTCACTGCAATCCACAGTGCATTTCATGCTTTGTTTTTCCATCCTTCCCCTGAAGGATGAGCAGAGGGAAGGAGGACAGGCAGTAGGGCACCAGAGCAACAAGAGATCTGCAGATGGCAGCAATGTTTTATGTTCTCTGTGCACACCCAGGAGGTCTGTGGGGAGCACCTGACCCTGGGAGAAGGGTGTGCAGCACAACAGCACAACCAAGGCCACAGCACTGCAATTTTTCACACAAGAGCCTGTTTGGGAGCAGAATGCAGCCCAGCACAGGGGGAACAGCAGCAATTTGTGGGGGTGGTATCTGCACACCCGTATGTGTCCATGCACCAAATCCCAAAGGGAAGAATGAAAGGCACATCAGACAACCCACTGCTTTGTATATCTGAGAAACAGATTTGAACTGCTAACATTTCTTCCAAATTTATAAAAGGGTTAATGACCGGCCATTTAAACAGCAGCTGCAGAGCTTGTGGGGCTCTGAGCACCTTATAGAAGTGACATTCCTGGGACTTGACTTTGCTGGGATAGGACTGTCATTTCACAAATTAGCAAGCTGAAGTGCAGTGACCTGCTCCAAGCTGCACAGGGACACTCTGATATATAGTTTTCTTCTCAAACATCTCTTAACCCGTCAAACCCTGCCTCATGCTGCAGTGCTGATACAGCAGGGGATATGCTGCAGCAGTGCAGACATTTTTTGGTTATGTCTGGAATACTTAGCAGCTGATGGCTTAAAATAACATCTCTGGCTGCAGAAGTTGGGAACCATTCCCACTTACCAGCTCCACATGTGTCAGCTGCTGAGCCAGGGTGTAAGGGTCGCTGCAGACACTCAGGATTTCTCTCTGAATTGATGGAGGTTTAGTTTTAAAGGCAACCAGCTTATCAGAGACAGCAGTACTGATCTTGACAATCCCTTCTTGCCCATGGCTGAGGGTTGCAAGCTTCTGATTCAGGGCTTGCAAGAGCTGATTCATCTTTTTCCAGTAAGCCTGAAGAGACAGGGAGAGAAACATAAGCCACCCAGAAAACTTGACATTGGAGTGGTTTTTTGTGCTGGATTTTCCTTTCTGCAAAATACTCCTAAGCCAGCAACAGGTTACCATTTTATTTCCAACAAGCCTATTTCAGAATAACCAGTTGGCTTAATTACAATTCTGTGCTCTGACTGCAGTCAAGAGAAGAGGCAGGCAGGGACTGGTGGGTTGGGCTGGCACTGATACTCCAGATTCCTGCCAACATCAGGTTCAAAGGAGAGGCAATGCTACCACAAGAGTTACTGCAGCTTTCTGGAGCACAGCAGCTTTTGGTACCTATCTCTTATGTCAGCTACATTTTGGCTGAGAACTCTACCTGTTAATGCTGCTTTGTCAACCCTTATTTATTAGGAACAAGAAATGTTTCTAATGCTATTTTCTCCATCCTTTTGACCTGAATGCAGAAGAAGCTCACAGCTGCTTGCTATCCAGCTGGAGTGGCTGGAGCATTGTGTAGCTTTGAGTATTTAATATCCAAATGTTAATTGCTACTGAAAGAAGCTCATATTGTATTCCAAGCACAGCCATGTGCTGCAGGATCATCATTACCAACTTGCCCAGGTTGTTCTCAGAGCTGGAGTAACTCTTTACAGACAATGAGTGGAGTCTGTGGCCATGGAGGATGGGCAGAAAGAAATTACTTCAACTGTTCATGACTGACAGATGCAGACATCACAAAACTGAGATAACAGAACTGGTGGGTGGGTTCTAAGGGTAAGGTTAGTTGGAAATGTCCTTGGCTAGACTGTGCCTCACCACAAAGAACAACACACGCCTATGTCATGTCCCAAGCTGGATGCAACTCAAGTGAGCCTTTGGGAAGTAATCCCATGGTTTAGATCCAACCCTTGTCTTCAGAGTTTTGTAGGCTGAAGATAGTCTTCAGTGTTAGGCATTGACAGCATTCCTGTTTTAAGTGTTCAAGGAACCAGAAACCAGAGTCAGTGCTCATCTCAGCTGCACAGAATCCAATCTGCACATTGGAGATAGCACTTCCTCCTGCTTCACAGTGAAGAGTAACTTCTCCCACCTACTCTGTCTTCATGGCAGGGTAGGAGAGGCTGGAGACCTTTAGAACATCCCAGGTGCTTCAACTTTTGCCAGAACACTTTGTAACTTTGATGCAGCTTTTCTAACAAAAGGTTTCATTACTCTCTTGGACTCACATTGCTCTCCTTTCACTAAGGAAGATGCTCTCTAGAGCTGGGCTAGAGCATGTACCAGATGAGCAGGATAAGTCAGGCTCTTTTTTGTGAAACAGAGCTGTTAAATCTGAAATGAAGCAAGTACCCAGAAGGCAGGAGGCATGTATCTTGGAGAATGACAACACAAAATGTATTTGGAATCAAATCCCAAAGGTGGAATGAAAATTGACTGAGGAAAACCCCACTCCTTCAGTTTTTATTTGTTACTGATGTATATTAGCTCCAAGAAAAGCCTTCTTCATGTAAATCCTCATGTCAACAGATGGTCACACTTTTGACTAAAAAGACTGTTCTGGACCCAAACTACTGACCACCATCTAAATATTTCTCTGTTTTACATCCAGGTGTGTTTGCAAACCTCAGCTTATGAAGCTCTGTGAACACAGTGTGATTTTTTAGTGAAAACTCAAATAGTGACATATTTGGCATTTTGTGACTTATTTTGTAAATGGGAAACTCAGTTTTTTGGGGGTGGGGGGACAGCACTGAAAGCCAAACCTTCTAATGAATAAAAAACATCTGGCTAAAAGACTTGGCTGGAAACCCAGCTCCTCTTTCTAAAAGGAGTTTGGCTGAAAACTCTTGGACCAGACTTGTCTATGCATTATCAAATTCTTCATAGTTTAGCCAAAAGGTCAAAAAGCTACAAAAAAATTGCTTGAAAGACATGCATATTAGCCAGTCTTTCAATAAATCTTTATCAAGAGATCTAGTTTCACCTCACTTTGTAGGGAATATGGCACAAAAAATAGACACAGACAACAGTAAACAAAGACTCAGGTAAGCCAACCATCTAATAAAGAATGAAAAAAAAAAAAAAAAAAAAAGAGACACACTTAAAGGACACAAACAATTACACAGAAATCAGAGCTCTTGAAGAGACTCACTGGAAATCAGTTGGGTGCACCCTTGCTTAGAAAGCTTTTCTGTGCACTTTGAGAGAGAAATTTTAAAAAATAAAAAATCCTGCTTTTGTCCTTTTAAATGCCTTTCCTGCCTTTTTTAAACTACATCCACTAACTGAAAACAACATTGTTCATTACCTTCAACGTGCTGGTAATTATCTTGCCACAAAGTGACCCCCTATGGTACAGGGGCTGCATGCTGGACTTATCAACCAATTTCACTTCACTGCCACATTAACAGTCAAAAGAAGCACACTACTGTTTAATATTTAAAGAAAATGTTTCGTTCTTAACTAGGAAAGTTCCTCTGAAGACAGCAGGCCTCAGCAGGTGGCTTAGGAGCTCAAATTTTAATTAAAATTTCTAACTCTAAATGCAAATCACAGCACTTACTAAGAAATGCTTCTCAGCATGGACACCTTTATAAGCACATCACAGCCTTTAGAAAGTGGACTCTACAAAGAACAGGAGCAGACACTGCAGGGGAAAATCCTGCACTGACCTACATGGACTGGATGACATCACAAATCTTTCAGTCTTTAACTTCAGTCTTTAACATTGTGGCTCACAATGGGAACAAGTTTCTTCCAAAAAACTAAGGGTCACCATCACTCTTCTGTGCTGTCCCTTAAAAAAAAGAAAATTTGCATTCGGAGGATATGAGCTGTTTCTTAAATTAATTATTGATTTTGCCCAGGCATAATCACTTGCAATTACAGTGCCTAGTAATATCTGAAAACAGTGGTTTGAAACTAATGTAGTCTGAGGCCCCCCAGGGCACCCACAAAGATTTGTACACAGCTGTGCACGCTCCGGAGCAAAGGTGGGCAGTACTTGCTCAGGTTAGGCAAATAAACCAGAAAGTTGATTTACAGCATTTATGATTCTTCACCAGGGCAACTACTGCTGTTAAAGAGCACATGCTAAGTCCTTGCTCTCCACCCTTTGGGTCCTTCTCTCCAGTGGACACAACTCTGGAGGGTCTGCATGGGTTTCCCTCACTTCTGATGCTGAAGGGCTGCAAGGTGCCTTTGGCTGGGGCTGGCCAGGAGCAAGTTCATTGCCTCTTTCCCTTGAAGGAATTCTACTACTCTGGTTAATGCAACTCAAGCCACTTTGGCTCTGAGTTTTTTTGTTGTCTTCACCTCCACTGTGTCTCACAGCTTCCCTGTCTTACCCCTTCTCTCCCACGGGCTGCCCAGCACAGGCAGTCAATCCATGCCAGCCTACAGCTCCCTGAAGTGCTAGACATGATGCCAGCCCAGTCCAAGAGCAGCTGTTTCCATTTATGACATATTTCATGGGCATAGAAGAGCCCAATGTAATTTTTTCGTGTGCTGCAGCCCCACTAATTCCTTCTGTCCTCTCTCCCCTCTTCCCTCTCTCATCCTCACGGGTATGTTCTTGGTGTTCTACTGGACTGAACTCCTCTGTGGCTCGAGGCCAGGCCTTCATGTAGCCCATGGAACTGAATTTTTCCACATCCCATGGTTAACCTAGAAGTAATTACAGACTCTCAGTGTACTATTTGCTTATTATTTTCATGAACTTTGTGGTCTTTTTAATGTTTCTGAATTAATTTATGGGGCTCACCCACCTGAATTTGCAAGCAGGTCTCCCAGAGGCTCCATTCACTGTGACCCACTGTGCCACACACAGAGCTCACATTTTGGAACTCAGGACCATACAGACCTCTAGCCTGAGTCTGTGCTCAGCAGGCCACACACGGCTGTCTTCTGCCACCTCCATGCTCCCAGACAAGCTACATGTCCACTAATATTAGTATTTTCTTTGAATATAAAAACTTAGATCCAGAGAAGCTGTGGATGCTCCACCCTTGGAAGCACTGAAGGCCGGGTTGAACAGGGCTTGGAGAGCCTGGTGTAGAGGAAGGTGTCCCTGCCCATGGCAGGGATGTAGAACAAGATGGTCTTTAAGGTCCCTTCCAACCCAAAGCAGCCTGTGATTCTATGATTCTAACTTGGGAGATCACAGCTCTGCTGCTATTTGAATTGTCACCAGCACATTCAGTCTATGCTATGCCTTCAAATATTCCTTCTATAAAATGGGAATGCTATTATCCTACAATTCCAATTGCAGGAGATAAATTCCAATGCTCACTGCTCCAGGAGCACCTAAAGAGAGATGTGACTTTCAGAGAAGATACTACAGGTTTTTACATTATTAGAGAAAAAAACCTCTGGGAGTATCCAGGAAGAGGCATGGAACAGAATGCAGGAAAAATAGGAAAAGAAGGAACCAAGTGGGAAAATGAGCTTAATGTATCAGCAGAACATGCCAAGTCAGGCATCCTCACCTCATCACATGGAGCTATCCTGTGAATCATGTCTTTGAGATGCCCAATCATCCGCTCTTCCTGGAAGTCATACGGGAATGTCTCTGTCCACTCTGTCAGCAACTGTAAGATTTTGGGTCCAAATTTTCTGATTCGAGCCTGAAATGAAAACCATTGAATGAGGACAGGGACTGAAACATGTTCACTCATTAAAGTCTGTGTGTGTGTGTCACTGAACATGGGGCCAGGTTTTCAAAGAAGGCATTTGTGTTGCACCTGCAAAACCTGCACACATGCATACAAAGAGTGTGGTGCACAAATAATACATTTTGGCATGCAAAATGTACCAGGACTCAGGTGCATGCACAACTGCCTGTTTTACATGCAGATTTAAGTATTCTGCACATGCAATTGGCCTGTTTATGGTTGGATGGACATTTTGTTGGTGCAACTTTTATACCTTTTTTTAAAACATCTGGCCCTTTTGCTGATTCAAAACATTTGTTCTTCTCTTTTGTACTCACAACACTTCTATGTTTTCAACCTTCTCTGAAAAATTGCAATGAATTTCTTGACCATCAAAGAGGTTTTTTTGCTCCTTTGCTTTCTGGCTGTATGAAAAAAACTGCTTCACTAAGTGCCACAAGTGGCAGATGCACAATGAAGAAAAAGATGAACAGAACAGCAGCACTTTTGTAACTTTACCTGGGCTGCTGGTAGTGTTGCTCTCTTCCCACATGAGCTCAAGGTTGTGATGGGACAAGGACACTCACACAGCATACAGCTGCTGCCCACTTCTGGTGGAGATTCATCTGAGGATGTGGCAGTGGAAATAGTTGGGATGGGGCAAGGAGGGAAATGCAAGGAATGGCACAACTGGTGCATTAGTGTTATCTCAAAAGACAGCCAGTGTGGCTACTCCCAAAGCTTTCAGCCTCCATTATGTGAAAAGGAAATGGTGTTAAAAAACAAACTGCATTTTTATTTACAGAAAACACAGACCGAAACAAGCAGCCTTCTTCTGCATCCCCACGTACTGCAGCTGAAGTGTACCCTGCAATCAGGAAAAATTATACACTTAAGCTCCCTGGCTCTTTGTTTTTCAACCAAGGTGGTCAAAATGCATATTTCAGCTTTCCACCAACAACAGGTTTCAATGAACCACATCTCTAAAAATAACTGCTGTCAGCTAGCATTAAGCTCAGGCTCAAAGACCAGCAGGTGGCTGCTAAAGGGAAAGCTTTATTGGAAACTACAAAGGTCTGGGGAGACATTTGCTCCAGCTGTGTAAACTGCATTACGAATTGATGGAGAGGACTTTGTGCAAGTCACAGGGCATGGGATGGGAGGCTGCTTGTGTACAAAGTTTCAGAATCAGCCCCGCTCTCAGGAACACAAAACCAGCCGTGCCCCACCAGCCCTGTGTTGCTACAAAACCCAGAAGAACTTCAGGCAGATAAGAAGTCTTCATAATAAGACAGTGTTTTTATTTTCTTGTAAGTTTAATGAGCAGCAAAACTTTGCAATGGTCACATTTAATCCTACTAAACTTGTATCTGTCATAGAATTGGAGAACAGAACCTCACACCTTTAGAAAACTTGTTTTGCATGGTTTACCCCATACAAATATTTCTATTAACACTGGAGTCTGGGATTGCTGAGCATTCTGGAGAATGACTCTCCACAGAGAAGGCAGAGCTCCTGCTACTCATGGAACCAGCTGCCTGTGCAAAAACAAGCACATGGTCTGATGTTGGTGACTCAGTATTTGATGCCAAACTCCAGTTTCAAAGACGGAAAGCCTGATATTGAAAACCACTTCAGAATTTCTGGAAATTTCCAAGAAATGCATATTCTGAGCCTCTCCACTGCTCTGAAGGTGCATGTCCTGCTGCAGATAACAAACCAGACAAGTGTTCATCAATGCAGCAAGGAGAGCCTGGGCAGAACCCAGCACTGAGCAGCATCCAGTGGGACCCATCACCTCTGCACTGTCTGTGGCACTGCCAGAGGATGCACATGTGTTCCTCTACACTGTACCAGGCTGCACAGTCCCTGGGGCAAAGTGGGAAGAGTGCTGAGGCAGGAACAGCTTGGATTTTCTCATTCTGTTCACCTGTGAGGCCCCCGCTGCTTCTCCTGCCCATTCCTGGTGCTCCACTGGTGCTGCTCTGAGGGCAGAGGGTGGTGGGCACCTGCCCCCTGTTACACAGTGCTCAAAGTGGCAGGGAAGGCCAAGGGGAAATATTACTGTAGCAGGAGCAAGAAAGCAAAGGGGCAGAGACATTAAGTAAAAATGGGAGAGAGAGTGGTGTGTGGACATCTGCACTCAACAGTGTGTGAGGGTTGTGTCCTACCTCCTTGCATCCTGCAGGCTTCCCCAGAGCCTTAAAGAAGTTAAGAAGGAAAATCACCTGGGAAGACTGAGATTCTTCCCTGGGAAAGGGAAAATCAGAAGAAGATTTGAAGTAACTACTGCCTGAAGCACTGCTCTCAGACATGGATACCAGGATGCCTCCGTGTCAGGATCTCAGTGGCAAATCCTTTATGAGAAAGATTCCTTCAATCTAAAGAGAGGCAAGGGAAACATGCCAGAGCCCCAGAATCCTCTCCCCACTGAAAACACCTCACATTTTTCTGCTGTAAACATAAACTAACCTTGTCCAGCACGGGGTCATCCAGCCGCTGCTGCTCAATGCACTTGTGACAAACTCGGGACAAAAGCTCATGGGGTTCGATGAAGAGTCTGGAACTCAGCAGGAATGTAAAGATATAGGCTTTCTGCAGGACAAAGACAAGAAGACCTGCTGTAAGCAGCCACACAGTGGGTAGTATTTACTGTAAAAGCCCTGAACTTCACAGCTTTTCCATTTCCACTTGGCGAGACCTTTTTCTCTAAAAGACATAATTCCTGACCATGGAATTGGTTACACTGGGCACAGGAGGCAGCAGCATCTCCTTCCTCCATAGCATCCACTTCCAGCCCTTGGTTGCCTAAACCCTGGGCAAACATCCAGTGAAGAGAGTGTGCAGGAGCAAGGCCAGGTACAGGAGACAGCCCAACCAGGATGCTGGAGACAGGAAAGCTAAAAGGGCAGGAACCTCTGTGTTGTACTGGGCTGGGAGCTGCAGACACCCCCACATCAGCCACATCTTGCTATTGCCCTGCAGATATCACCCAGCCTATTTTAAGCAATATTTCATTTATTCTATTAACTCCCCAAATTTCATTTCTATCAGCCAAGTCATATCACATGCAGTTCCACATCTGTGAAGCTGTGGGAAGCAGGTCTGCAGGATAAATCCTTGGATTATTCAAATTATTCCAGCAGTGAATTTAAAATACATGCATAAAGTCTTAGTTGTTGCATCCTGACCCCTCCTTGCATCCTTGCACCTGAATTATCTCTTTTCCACCAGCCCTAGCCCTGCTCCCAAGCAGCAGGTATAATATTACATATCATGCATTGCCTAATGAAAATCTCACCGCCTGATCTGCCCATTACCTATTTTTTATTGCCTTTCTGTTCCTTTTTTTTTTTTTTTTTAAGTTGAGATGCTTCTTTATTACTTATTTTTAGCTGATCAGAAACTGAGCTCCGGGTAATTTAAAACATGCTGCCTGCTCTGCATTGATAACTTTCCCAGTCTCCTCAAGTACCCAGAAGTCAATGCTCCTCTGTGCTTTGAAATACAAGCCACGGAGATATATTAGCACTTAAAAGTCTTCCAGTCAAACTCTGTCTGAATTCCACTGAGGATGTACAAAATCCAGTGAAGTCAATAGCTTGCAGGACCATAAACCTGCTTCCGGTTTAGATCTTCACACTTGTGGTGAGGAAACACTTAATTTCCACTGATGAAGCAAGGATTAGGATCTGGACTATGCTGTGCAGTGACTGCAAAGTTGTGAATTACATAAATTACAAACCCACCAGAAGAAGCATCTTTGTCATCACCAAGGGAATGCTCTGTACATACAGGCAAACCTGGATGACTTCAGCAGCCACTGAAATTCAGCTAATTTAATGCCAGTTCAGACTTGGGAGTTTTTTGCTTCAGTTTTCCTCTAAACCTCTCTGGGAAGCGCTGCTATTTTTGAAAAGCTCCAACTGCTACATCACTAATTCATCACCACGACAGCTCCCCCAACCCTGTTCTCTTATTTAAAGGCAGTATCATCTTTGGGATCTGCTTTTTCATGGGAACAATTATAGAGCAGTGAAACAGCATTTAAAGCAATGCATCAATTTACCAAGCTTTAATTGTATGCAGCTTTTAAATGAGCCCTCTTAATTCAAAATTTAACACATTTGCACTTTTGCATAAAGTGCTGCCCCAATTCATCAAAATTAAACCATTTATTATACTGTGAATTGCTTACTTCAGGGTAGTAATCAGTGGTAGGTATCAGATGCTGGATCAGAGCATCCAGAGATGCTGAGGTAAGGTTTCCATCCTGGAAGATCAGTCCTCCTTGTTCACCTTCTTTTGAAGTATGTAGATGAGGGCTGAAGCCACATGGGGTAAACATGCTGGTAGAACTCAGCGTTTGGGGCATGCCTTCCTGCAACAGAGACAGGGACAACATCCATCAGATCCGCAGTCACTCTGTCTTCTGGCTGATTTGAACAACACAGACACTAATGAGAGCTTCCTATGTACAAAATTAACATGATCTTTCCTTGATAACCTCCACATCTCTTCCACTGCTGGCACTGGCAGATCACTCCTGCAATGGGCAGAACACAGAAAATGGAACATTTTGATTTATGCTTTTGAGCCAGAAAGTGATGGCAGCTACTTTGGGCTCCCCCCAGTCAAGAGTGGCTGTGATGATTCCCTTTTCACTGCCACCTCTGGTCGGGCCCACACAGGAGAGGAGAGAGACTTGGGACTTAAACCTCGGCAGGTTCACGAACAGGATGAAGCAGTTTGTTTGAACCTCTGCCAGCCTGAGAATGAGGCAGGGAGAATTTAGGGTGTGCAGGAGAGAAAAGGGGTGCCATCTAGAGCTTACTTGGGATGGACCTTGGAGAATGCCAGCGGCTCCCCTGGGACAGCAGAGGTGTCAGAGCGAGGAGATAGGAGCAGGACCAAAGGCAGCTGGGGGAGGACGGAAAAATGGAGGGAGTTGGAGGAAACAGAGAATGTGGGATGAAGAGATTAAATAGCAAGGAAAAGAGAAATGAGGAAGAGTGAGAAGGCAGACATCTGAACTATATTTGGAGCCCAAAGTTAGTCAGTCCTAGATCTATACTTAGGTACTAAATAAATGTTTCAAAGAAATTCCAAGCGCTCATCGCCTGCACTAGAGCTGCTCAGTCCTCAGCACTTCTGAAAAGGAGGCCAGGCAGACTCTGAGCACATAGCCCAGATTCAAATCCCTATATTTCAGTTATTTGGGTTTTTCAGGTTGCATTCTAGGTTTCATCTTGATTTTGTGGTTTACAATCAGCTTTGAATGTTCCTCTTGTTGAGCAAAGTTGTTTCATTTTTGAATTGCTGCAGAGGGATAAGAGATTTTGCCCTGAGAGCTTTAAAGCATCTCCAGCTGCTTCTGAAATCCCTCCTGGAAGCTGCTCCTCTCTCAGCTAGAGGCAGCATTATAGGACATGGATGGGAAAAGAACAGTGTGTGCTCCCTTCCAGGTCTGCAAATGCATCATCCAGAGCAAGGGACCCCTCTGTGACCTGACTAGTTGTTTTCATGTTTGATTTTACCTCATAAAAGGGAGGATAGGAAAGAGATAAGAGAAGAGCACCAGAGCCAAGCAAGATCTGCACCCTGTGCCCTGCTGAGCCAGCACTGACCTCCCATGGCAGAAGGCCCAGGGCCACGGTGACAGCGCTGCCAGGCCTTGGGCACACACAGCCAGCAGACACACCTTGGGGTTTCGTACATTCCTCTGCCCTTTTCTGTGTTCTGTTCCCTCTGCTTTTCTGCCTCTTTACTATCCCATACCATTTCAAAAGCTGACCCATGGATTTGGCATAGAATTTAGAGTTTTCCTTTCTCCCCCATGGATATCAGCAGCTGTGCTGTGCCCCAGGCAGTCAGCTCAGCCTCAGCTCCAGGTACAGCTTGTTGAGCTCACTCCTGCAAAAAACCCTTCCCTGCCTGGCATAGCCCATCTACTCCCCCAGCTCAGAGCCACCCTGGGCCACCGAGGAGAAGGGAATCATTCCTGTAAGCCAGGCAGGGTGGGAAGCCCTGGGAGAGGCTGGAGCCGAGTCCCAGCTCCGTGGGAGATCAGGCTTTACAAGCCAAACTTGGGTGACTTCATCCTTCAAAGGAGGGAGCGTTCCCTGGAGCCAGCAGTTCCACCCCTTATCTCCTTCTGGGAGGCTCACACAGGCTGTCTCTGGGATTTGCAAACAACAAAAAAGAACCAAAATGTCAAACCTGACCAATTCCTGCCTTGACTGAAAAATAAACTAGATGTTGGATTTTAGTTTAAGGACCAGAATATGTAAATGCCATCCCAGCCAGGATGGAAGTTGAAGCATCTAGTCCTAATGAATGTGCAGATGTGCCTGTTAATAAAGCTCTGAGAGCAAGTAATTGCTGCTTTTTGAAGCACATAGCTCAGACTCTGTGTAGTAAATGGGAAGGACTGCCAAATCCCATTTGTTACCTCTAACACGCTCTATGTTATGGCTTGTTTCTATGGCAATAATCCCAAAAAGGATTTTGTGTCCACATAGATCAAGAAATAAATCTCATGGACATACAGCTGTCTAGATGAGGAAAAGAAAAAGTTAGAACAGCTGTGAACTTACAGGACACATCCTGGCTGCAGCATAAAACAGAACTCACAACTAATGATTTATTCGGTGCAATCTCTCACTGTCAATGCCATTTTTATTATCAGATAGAAACCATCTAAACAGGATATTGCCTGAATTTTTGCATAATATTAAATGAGAAATCTTGCTGAAATACATGGTAATGCTTTTAAAGAAAAAGTACATTTTTAAAAAAGGAAATAAAACAGCTGTACAACTGTCACTGAGACATCTGTCTTGGATATTGTCAAGAAATTAAATTTGACTTATTTATTATGAAGTTCCTGAGTAACCTCAAGTTTTCAGGCAAGGCCTGTGTCATATCTGAGCTGGTGCACGATTGCCACCTTACTTGCCACCAAAGAAGACTTGAAGGTTTTAACAGATGCCTTTTGCTCCCTTTTGTGTTCCATTTATACAGCAGGATGAGGCCAGCTGTACAAAGGATAAAAGCCTCTTGCACTACTAAGCTCAAAAATAACTAACATTAGCATTTGGCAGACGTGAATTCAGGACAGGGGCTTCTCTGCCTAACTCCTTTTTCTGTTCATACATTTCCAGAGTTCTCTTTTCAAGAGTACTAAATAGAAACAAGATCTTTCTTTGAAAGAGCCCAAATACACAGACAAGGTTCTGCTGTCAATCACTCACAGAATACAGAAACAAGGGAAGCACTGAGAGGTAAACAAGCAAACAACGAAGGAGATTTGTCTTATTGAACCCTTTGGATGATGGAAAAGGCAGCACAGACAGAGGCAGACCCTCCCCTGAAGAGCAGTGACAGGATGAGAGGCAGCACTCCCAGAGAAATACCAGCTGAAGAGAAAATCATCCCCTGAGCACTGTGGAAGAGGGACCTGGAAAGGATGTTCCATTTCCATTCTGGGAGGTTTTCAAAACTCAGCTAGACAAGACTCTGAGCAAACTTCAAGCCCTGCTTCAAGTGGGAATTTGGACTAATGAGTGCAAGAGATTCTTCTTTTTGGCTTCTCTGTGACTCTAACACACACATTTCTTTCAAGTATTGCCCCATTTCTGAGCTTTTTAATATAAACCCTGGCAAGTAAAAATTGAGTCCAGATTATTAGATATTTGTAAAGAAGTCCATCTTGTCATAAAAAGTTTTTCCACTTTTCCTGGAAACAACAGCTTGAATGTGGTAAAAAAGACTCAAAACCTCATTTGAAAACCTCTTAGACTGAACCTGAAGTCAATGAGATTTAAGCATGTGATTCAGCAGGTGCTTCCATGAACTTTCATCCAATTCAACATACAATGTTTTGCTGTTCCTCTCATTTCAGAAGCAAATCGGATGCCAGTTTCAGTTGATAAATGGTGCTCTGGAGGAAGTGAGATGGTGAGATGTTAGCGAAGGGCAAACTTCCACCCTCAGCATGCAGAATGACTGATGATACATGGGGCTACACACACACACAGCATTTAAACTACCTCTGTGCTCTGAAGGGCTGACACCAGGAGATGGGAAAATGTTTCTGCACTGGCTAAAAAAACAAAAAAGAAAATCCAGGGGCAGACTGTTTCTGGGACTGGTCTGTGTTATACAGAATGTCCCACGTGGCAGAAGGCAGGGCATGCACCTCCTTCCTTGCCTACAGGAAAACAAGGTGATAAACTGGAAGCAAAGGCAGATTGGACTCAGCACTGCCTGGAAAAAAGAACAACAAATGCTGCTGGGCTGGGCTGGTAACATTTTGGGTTAATTTTACCAAAATGTTATGTCCTCCAGCTGTGGCCAGAGCAATCAGCGCCACCATTTTAAAATTAATGGGAACATACATCTTTTTATCTTCCTTCACTGGCCAGCACCATCTAGCATTTCAGCACAGGGATGAAAAGAGATATAGACACTTCTCACTACAAATGATGCTGCTTGCACAAAATGTTTCAGGACTTGATTCACTGAGCTAAAGCACAGAACCAAAGGATGACCAGTGCTTGGGAGAAAAGTTACCCACAAACTCTGCACCTATCTACATCTGCAAGTGCCTTGAAATCTGTGGAAAACCAGTGCCCAGACCTGGAAGACTGAGAAGGCTTAAAGGAGTGTCCTGGATTGTCAGGCAAATCGTATTCTATTGCAAACCAAGACAAGGAGTCCTGAGCAAACACATGGCCAGCTGAGCTGCAGGAGGAGAGGTTCAAGGTGCCAGAGGACAGCTGCAGGCTGCCAGTTCTGCCTTCCTGGGCCAGGCAGGTGACCTACAGCACAGCCATGAGGGTAGACACCCACCAGCATCCCCCAGCTGCACCACTTGCTGATACAAGTGTCCCCATGGCAAGTACAGTTAATGCTTACGTGGACACGAAATGTTCAGGAAACATTTAATGTGGTTTTCACCGCCTTTGATGTGATAAGTGTTTTATCCTTTATCAAAAACCTAATCACACTGTTTACTTTTGATCTTCATTTCATCTCTGCCTTCCATCTGCTCTGCCTCTCTCAAGGGGAAACAAGAGTTGGTACCATGTGACGAAGGGAACGGGGCTGCCGACTTATCTTCCCACCCACTTAACTTTTGGATTAACCAAATAAATAAAAGCCTTCCCACTCCAGGGATGAAAGGCACAAGCTTCTGACAATCTCCCAGCAGAATTACAGGAGCTAGAGGGGGTGGTAAGAGAAGGTGTGGAGGCAGGGGTATCCATCTGTGCCATGAGGGAGGCTCCAGTGTCACTCAATCAAGTCAGCATTCAGGAGCACGGGCAGCGGACAAACCAGGGGTATGGGGGACCCAAGTCGAGCATTCATTTGGCAAGG